ACTTGCCGTATCTTTTATTGTGAGAATTAATTTCAATTTCCTCGGCATGATTAGCACCTTTTTTATCTCATTTGAAAATTATTCGGTATTGATCGTTAATGCGAATGCTATAATAACCCCTTTTGCCTCTTAACTCCTCAGTGCGATTTCCAGGAATTAGGTATAAATCGTTAAGATTGGAAGCATTAATTAGGGAATGAAGTTTTTTATGAGCCACTTTTTTTATTTTTTGGTATTTTGGCACTCATTCTCTTTTTCATAAGGCTTCGGCATCTTTGTCTTTAAACCTTGAATCTTTTAGTTTCTGCATATGAAAGAGTTTTAACTGGTATTTTTCTCGATATTTTAATTTTTACAATTGTAATTACAATTTAAATAATGTAATCAATTATTTTATTATTCATTGCTATACTTAATTCTGATATTTCTTTTAAAATCTCATGTTTTAACTTGGAGGTTAAAGGTTTTGGACGTTGGCTCTGCTAAAAAAGAGGGTTTTAATGCCACCTTCGGAATAGTCTTCTAATTTGGCTTCTAATTCTTGGATTTTGGTCTGGAGAGATTGGATTTGTTGCTGGTTCATTATTAAAATTTTACTATTAATAAAGTGCCTCTAAAAAAATAAAAGTCGGCAAGACATTTTAAACAATAACTATTATAAAAATATTAATAATTGTTATACCTAATCACAAACATGAAAAATGAAAATTCCGGTTGGCTTTCCAAGATATGAGATTGATTAAAGGAAAAATTTTTCCCTTCGTTTAGAGACGAGAAGAAAAGAATTCAACAAAAATTTGGTAAAAAAGCAAAAGTAAGTAATAGTGATGCAAAACAATTTCAGAGCGGTAAGGGAAATATATTACTGCGTGCGAAATTATTTTCCGCTTTTTGTTTTTAACTGAATTACGCAGTAATTTAACTTTACTAGAAAAGCGGACATTTAATTTGCACATTGTAATATATAATTGATTTACAAAAACAATTAGAAAATCAAGAAAGTGCGGTTAATGCGATTATTGACAAAGCCAATAAAATAAAAAAATTTAAAGAGGAAATTTACCGATTAGCCATGGTTAATATTAATGAGGAGTTAAAAAAATGTTTAGTGTAGATTAGTAATTCGTTATATAATGTTATGACTGAAATTGTTTTTAGATTAAAGAAGTGCGAAAAATTAATTTTTGAATGGGGGATCAGCCTGGTGAAAGCATAGGCTAGTCCCTCTGGCCAATCTCGCACTGAAAAGTTAATCATTTTTTCTAAAATAATTTAATGTCTGGATTTTTCTCTTTTTCTTTTGGTTGCTGAAAAAGTTCTGACCCAATTAATTACTTAATTTAATGAACTTTTTTAATTCGTTTTTTAGATTTTTTTCTCCTTTGGCTAATTATCCAGGCAGAGGCCAAAATTACTACCGAGAAAGTAACCGCTCCGGCGAGAATAATTTTTCCGTAGCCTTCTTTAGGTGAACCGGTTTGATTAGGATTGTTTTTTTGGTTATCTTTGTTTTTCAAATATTTTAGGTGGTCTTCGGTATTTTTGATTTCTTGTTCTAATCGCTGTTTTTCGTCAGAATTAGAAGAATTTTCAAGTTTGCTTTTTAGGTTTTGTAATTTATCTTGGGCTTTCTCAATTTCGGTTTTTGGTTTATTTTCTGTTTCTGGTTTATGGTGATTATTAGCACATTTACGGCTGCAATATCAACTTCCTTTGCCGTCGCCTTCAATATAATCGCAATCGGTTGTATATAGTTTAATATGGCAACTCGCACAATTTTTTTCTCATGGTGAATTATTATCAGGATTGTTTTCTCTTTGATTATCTTTTGTATTGTATTTTCTGCAACATTCCCCAGAGCAAAAATGTAAATCAAAAGGGCCCGATAAACTGCCTCGCGGACGTTGGCTAATTACTCCCTTTGTGATGTCAATTTCTTGACCGCATTCGGCACATTTTTTTTGGTCGGAATTGGCACCAGATTTTTCTCTTTCTTTTCTTTGTCGTTCGGCCTCTCTATCCACTGTGGCTTGTCGGCGGTCGCGTTCCGCTTGTTCGGCACTGCGGCGGATTCGCTCCGCATTCGCTCTTTTTTCCGCCGGAGTAAAATCTCGGATTGTCAACTTATCAGGTTTGGTTCCCTCACCTTTTTCGTATTCTTGCCACTCGCCACCAATATTCGTGCCAAATCTGCTAAGTCCGCCGTCTCCTGTCCAGTTTTCCCCAAAAATAATTTTGCGGGCTTCGTTTTTTAATTGGAGCGAACGAATTTCGTATCGATCCGCCTTTTCAAAAACTTTGCCGCTGTTATAATTTCCCGACTGTTCTTTAAATAGAAAATAATCCGCGCCATCTCCTTTATATTTTTTTATTACCTCTAATAATTCGGTAAAATTCGTATTTTTTCTGTGTGTGTGTGTGTGTGTGTGTGTGTGTGTTGCTCATGATTTCTTTATATATTTGTTTTTATATACAAAGTAAAAATGCCTTTGCTAGCAGACCATTTTCTCTTAAAATAATTTTATGCCCGTCTCTCTTCAGAAAAAATTTTCTCTCTACTCCTGATTACTAAAAAAACTCCGATCAGAATTAATTATCTGATATTTTTTTACTTTTGTTGCTTCCTTTTT